CGTCAAAAGCCGTGCGCGGTGTCCAATTTCGCGCGAGAGGATAGATCGGGAATCTTCGTGAATTACGCAACTCTCGCAGGGAAGTCACAACAATCGGAGATCCGCAGCGGAGTTTCATCCTCGCCGCCGCGCGCGGCCGCGGCTGTCGAGGGATCGGTGCACAATTAAACTGCGTTAAATCGCGCGCGCCGACGTAATTTATCGCGCGCGAATAATAATTCGTCCGATATCGGCTCGAAGGCGTAAAGACCGCCTTCACCGAGCGATCCACCGCGATATGCATCCGGATACATTATGCATATCGACGACGGGAATAGTCGCGCAGTCGTTGAAAGGAGAAGTTTCTCTCCGCTCTTTTTTTTTTTTAATCTCTTCCCAAGACTATTTCTGAGGTCGCACGCCTTGAGCGAGCAAACGATGCTGGCCGAAAAAATGAAGAAGCCAATAGGAAAATATATGTCGAAGCGCATTGAAAAAAAAAAAGAAACGCTAATTTTAAACTTGTTGGACGAGATATATTATTTATTCATACAGTGCGATGTCCTTTCCGATTTGAGAATATCATCCTTAAAGTCGGCGCAGCCTTGAGGCCGCAGAGACGCAAGTGATGTGTGCCGCGCTGCTAAAAATATTTCCTCCGACTGGCAAAATGCACAAAAATTGTCTCCATCTTTCAGGTACACATATACGTGTCGCGCGTATCCTCCGTAAGCCGCCTTTCGCGGATTGTTCCATCCTCGTTCCGTAATATTAACGCATGACGTAAACAAAGTTACGTATTCGTCGCAGAGTCGTGAGAAACGTTGTACGTTGAAATCATGGCCGTGGTTTTCTGAGGAAGATTGATTCGCGTTCTCTCCGCGCGTAAATACGCGTTTAAAATGTATAAAACGTCGCGCGCGAACGCGGCGATACACGAGGCGATTATATCAGTTTCAATTTTTTTATGGAATATAATTTCTGGAGCAAACGAGAGAGAGAGAGAGAATTAATCCTTCACATCGTCCCCGCATCCGATCGCGCGACGCTGCTATTTGATGCTTAATCGATTCTCGCCGTCGGCTGTTTGACTGAAACACACTATAAACGTCACTCAACACGCTCTTATCTCGACCCGGAACACGCGCAAAGAAGGAAGCAATTCGCGCGCGATGTCGTTAACCCTCGCGCCGGGATTCGCGCCGGGAGCGCGTTTGACCCGCGTCGTTGCCGGTGCAGGTCGGTCAACGAAGTGTTATATCCGTTTTACGGGGAATTTCCCGGCGTGATGAAAACCCGTCGCGAGGCCGTCCCCGTTCACGCCGGATACGCGCAATCGATACTCGAAGAGCCGGCGGAAAATGGGGAAAGGCAAGTACCTCTCTCGAAAGAGAGAGAGAGATAGATAGATAGATTGTTATTTATTGAGCGCTCTAGAAACTTAGTCCTCTCAAGCGCTAAACAAAAAAAAATATTTCGATACATAATAATTTCAAATAAAAAATAATAAAAATAAAAATAAGAGAAATAATAACTAATAACAAATAATTAGAATTAATGAATGAAACAGCCGTAAAAGACGATAAAATAAGGAACAAGATTTAAAAAGAAAAAAAGAGAGAGAGAGAGACGTCACGTGACTGCACGAAAATGCGCTTATCTCTCTCTCTCTCTCTCTCTCTCTCTCTCTCTCTTTCTTTCGTCCGAGAAAAATTATATCGCTAGAAAATACTCAAGGACTTACAATTAGTCACGACGGATCAGCTTCCGCGAAACGCGGAAAGCCTCCTCCTCCTGTTTCATCGTGTCCATCATTATCTCTCGCGGGATTACAGCGCGTACAATTTTTTTCCCGAGAACGATACTGTTGTGCCGTTGTCGTTCGAAACGTTGATTAACGCGCGCCGAGCCGCGTGCACCGGTTATGCAATAATACAGCGCGTTATTAAAACGGAGGACAGCTCGATATTTTGCGCGTGATCGAAAGTATAAGAACCGTGTCACCCATCTGCAAAGAGGCGGCATTATCTCCGTTAATGCCAGCTGATTTAACACTAACGAGCGAGGACAATCTGGGTAATTGGTGCGATACGTGCTCTATTAGCTTGCTGCGGCAAGATTTCACACCTCGTTGAAACGTGCGAATCTGTAGCACGGTTGAGTCACGATTTTCCATATGTTTTACATATATTACATATATTACTTTTTTTTTCAACAAGAGCGGCCACGAGACGAGAAGTGCGGAATAAAAAATGAAACGATTCGCGAGATCGAGGGCGAATCTCGCTTTGTTTACACTTAACAAGCGCGCATTTCTAAAAAAAAAATTTCATTCCAATTCCACGTGCTTCCATAACTTTTTGTTTTTACGCCTCAATTTTTTTCGGAAAATTCGAATGCGGCACAAGAAGATTGAAAAAAAAAGAAAAAAAAATCAATCTCGTACACGATCCCTCGCATTCAAGCCGTCCCGATGCTCCAGTTTTCATTGACGCGTTATCAGGAAAACTTATAGCAAGGAGCCGTTATAGCAACCGAACTCGCAACTCAGCGCGTCCGGCGCTGAATGCTAAATGCAGATGTTTTTTTACTACACTCGCACGCGAAGACTTCACGTATACGCGTCGAGTCCGGCGGATCACGTACGTGATAATAAACCGTGTCGAAAATACTGCGGATAAATACGACGGAAATGCGCACTTTGAATATCGCTCCCCTTCCCCTCGCGCCTCTCCCCTTTATCTTATCGCAATTCTTTAATTTGAGAAATTTAGCCTGGCTAAAAATGTTTTCAAGTGTCGCTTAATTCCTTATTTTCGTCGAAACTTGCATTTTTTAATTACACACGAAAGCCAGAATCGCCTTTATACGCTCGCGTAAAAATTAATATACACATTAGCGATATAAGAATCAAGCTCGTCCTTGTATTAACGATAAAGAATGTAATAAAATTAGGCCACACAAACGAGCACTGTCCAACGAGGATGACAGCGTTTATTAATCTTGCAATATAAAATTTAAAAAGCGGTAGGGTACATGTTTCGACTCAACTTAAAGAACTTAACGTAAAGTTTTCTTCAGCCGCAAACTATATTAATAAAAGTAAACGCCAGTCACATATTCGTTAGAAAGTGCTCGTTAGTGGAGACCTAATTTTATTTACATTTTAATTATTAACATACGCACTTCTTTCAGTCTCAGGTGCGAAAATATTGATACGCGAGCAGCCCCCCTCCCCCCCCCCACCTCCAGGTCATCGCAAAGAATTTAATAAAAGTGGGATTTAGGTGTCGATATTCGAAAGACCAGTTGCCGAGTCGATCGCGCCGAGGCGGTACCACTTTGAGATGTCCCGACCTGCTTCGGAAAGATGGAACATCTCCGAATCTCTCTCTCTCTCTCTCTCGCGCCCGCTCTTGCTTTCGCTCGCGCGCACGTCAGCGGAAAGAACGGAGGGACGATTTCGACGAAAGGTACGAAGATAAACAAGAAAAAGGAGGAGGGGGGATGGGAGGGACAAAGAGAGAAAGCTGGACAATGGAGAATGAAATTGCAGGAGGAACGCCCGCTCCGATAATCGAGATCCGAATCCGTCATCGATCGCGTGCAGCAGAGATCACGATGCGGCGGCGCGGCGCAGAGAGATCCGATATGTTTCGGCACGATTGTTCTCACTCGCTCGCGAACGTGCCGCCGGGCGGGACGCGGCCGATCGAAACGTTCCGCGCGTCAATAGCGGGGGGGGGGGGGGTCCTCGAAGACGCGCGACGTAACGCGACGGACGACGGTCGGTCGGTCGGCCGCGCGGCCAATGAAAGCGCCGGCACGCATCTCATTACCGATGATAATCGAAAGGCACCGCTCCGGCTTGACGGCCGCGCCGTAGGCCTGCGGAGTGGAGTAACGACGACGACGACGGCGGCGTTGGCGCGTCACGCGTCCCGCGCCGCGCGTGTCGCCCGAGGAGCCTAATAAGCCTCGCTCGGCAAATCATCCGTGATGAGAGTATTTTTACGCGGACGATTCCGAACGGACGTTCTCTCGCGCCCGCGGGCGAGATCCGGAGGCTTCCCCTTTTTTTTTGTGTCTGATTCGAATCAAGACCAGCTCGTCCCTGCAAGGAACAAACAAATTATCATTAGGCCCGACCGAACGAGAGCTTATTTTAAACGAGGATGACAGCGTTTGAATCCTCGTCATCCTCGTTTAAAAAAGCTCGTTACAGTCTGGCCCTGATCATAATTTGTTTGCTCCTTTTTTTTTCTTTTCACTTTTCCGCCTGCGGCAGAGCTGCGAGAGAGGGCAAAAACGGAGGCGCGATATATCGACGAAAATCGAAACTGCAGAAAGGAGAGAGGTAAGGGAGGAGGGGGGGACCAGGCACCTTGCGCGCCTCGGAACGCGCGTCAGCTGCGAACAGCGAGAACGCGGGGGAACGAACAAAAAAAGCAATGCAAAAAGTGTTTACTCACTTCCTCGCAACGGCCGGCGACGGCAGTGGTGGCGATGACGACGACGATGATGACGATCGCGGGCTGCTCCTGTAGTTAGTTGCTCGCGCCGTCGATGAATCAAAAATCGTCCCTTGATGCAAAATGTGACGCGCACGCCGGCTGGTCGTCAGTTCGTTCGCCTCTCTGGGTACCCCCTCGTACTTCGTATACGTATGTACGTGTGTGGGAGGCGAAAACACTGCGATGCACTTCCGTCCCCGGACGTCCGCGCCGAGGTCCGCGGCTCTTCCTCGCTCGCGGCGGCGGGCGGACGGGCAACCAACCGGTCGATCGCGGAAGCTCGAACTTGTTTCCGTAACGTCAAGCGCGACGAGCGGGGGGGAAGGAGGGCGATCGTCGTTCGGCGACTTGACGAAAGTCACGGCGTGTACACGTACGAGCGCGATCCGATCCGATCCGATCTGCGATAAGTCAACGGCAGCGGCAGCGGCGACGACGACGACGATCGGCAGCAATCGGTGGGGATTTACATGGGCTGACCGCGCGCCGCGCGCCCGTACGCGTGTTTACAGATGTGCGGATATATGTCTCTCTCTCTCTCTCTCTCTCTCTCTCTCTCTCTCTCTCTCTTTCTCTCCCTCAGCGTCGCTCCCGCATGCCTGGCCGCGGGCGCAGCAGCCGCCAAGTGTCACTGGCACACGGACTGGGTACGGAGAACTTACGGGGCGCCGATCGAAACCGCGAGATGTTGACGTCGCGAGACGCGTGACGACATCCGCACCGCCCGGTGGTCCCGACACGACTACTGTCGCGCCGACTGCCGCCGGCCGCGCCGCCGCCGCCAGTCACCGCCGCGCGAACGCCCGCCGCCCGCGCCGCCCGCGACTGCCCGGCAAAGCCTCGCACCGCCGCCGAATTATCCGTCCGTCGGTAAGTCGGCACCTGCGCGCCGGAGATAAGATAATCGCGAAGGTAAATTACCCGCGTGAGCGCACGCTAAGGGGGAGTGGCGAGGTAGTGCGCGTGCGCGGTGGGTGATGGCGTGATGCGCGGTCGTTGTGGTTGGGAGGGGGTGAGCGCCGCGAACCGACATTCGCATGGCGACGCTCGAGCGGGCGGGAGGCGACCCGCGTCGTTTTCGCTTCGAAATATCTTCGTGTATCGGCGGCGCATCTCGAGATCGCGAAAGAAGAGCATCGGGCGCGATTTTTACTTATGAAATATATCCATTTTCCGACCGCGAGATCGACGGACCTCCTCAATTAGCCAGGTGATTACGATCCTGCGTAATACGACATGTAAATAGGCATTATAATAGCATTAATAATGCTAATAAATTCATATCGAAGCGTCCGCCTACTTCGTGCGCGGTTTATCTTTCCAAAGTAGGAATATCGCGCAATAGCGCGATGCAAAATAGAAATTGCAAGAATTATTCATCACTTGACACATTATAATAGCTCTTTGATTATGCTGAGAAATAATTGTTTCTTCGTGTCGCTTAAGTCTCTTCCGCTGAGATTTGTAAAATAAGTCGCGAAAAATAACTCGCTTTTCCACGATATTATACATCGCGCGGGATATCCGTGATACGCGAAGTGATACGGGAAAGCCGCGGAAAATTCACAAATGGAACATTCGGCGTACATACATGCCTTTCCGTAGTCCCGTGAAAGGTTTCGCGAATGACGATACTACAAAACAGTGCAAACGGCCGCGACATGCATGTTTTGTGCCGGCGCGCCGTTTGTTTACATTCGCCGGTGGCATTGCCGAGACTCGAGCCGGCGCGGCGGCGGGCGGCCTGTTGCCGTGTTTACTATTCGAGACGCAATCGCGGCGAGGAAAAACTATCCAATTCTACCTTCCGAGACGCGATCGTTTTTCGCGAGCGGTACTTGAATCTCGATCAGCATATCTCGCGCTTCTACACAGTGCGACAAATATAATTTCCCGGAATGGTGCTATAAAAATGAAACGAATTGAGTTTTTTCAGTTTTCTCTTTTTCTTCATTCAAAATATTCTCCTCCTGATTCAATATACTTTTTGCAACGATTCAGCAATGATTCAAATGACTGCTCCAGCTCATTTTGTGGTATTGCCTCCAAAGCACACGTCGAAGCCTGTTGAATTGTTTTCATACATCTTCAAAAATAGCATCCTTTCAACTTTATTTTCATTTTGGGGAATAAAGAAAAGTCACGTGGCGCTAAATCAGGTGAATGATTCAACACGCGAGCCTGATTTTTAGCCGAAAATTGACTGTGAGCTATTTTGAAGATGTGGAAACAATTCAACAGGCTTCGACGCGTGCTTTGGAGGCAATACCACAAAATGAACTGGAGCAGTCATTTGAATCATTGTTGAATCGTTGCAAAAAGTATATTGAAACAAGAGGAGAATATTTTGAATGAAGAAAAAGAGAAAACTGAAAAAAATCAATTCGTTTCATTTTTAAAGCACCATTCCAGGAAATTATTTGTCACACTGTGTATACAGTTTCCCGCTGACTTAACCCTCCACCCGGAACAATTTTTGGTCTTTGGTCATTTGGAATGGGATAATTCAGAACACAATTTGAATAAAAAAAAAACAACGAACAAATTATATAATATATATTTTAAAAACGTTAAGAATAAAATTGTGAATTACATTCCATCAGTCTTCCACTCTAGTAAACAATCAAATAACGAAAAATATATTCCGGGCAGAGGATTAAATATTTCAAAATTAATTCTTAAGAACTGAGAACTCGGCTAGTAAACGAATCTCCGAATATGGAATTTATTATTTATTCGAAAAAAAAAAATTAACATGGAGTGGGGACGCGTGAATAGATGGTGAATTGGCAATGTGTGCGTTTTGGGGGACTTATGCAGATGCGAGACGGGATAGTAGCGATTGCATATACTTTCGGAGGATTCGTTTTATTCAGTTGACAATTCGCGAATCGGGAGATCGGCATGAATCGAAGTTGCCGGCGTGTCATTGTAATTTCTCGTCCACCGGCGGAGCGTCGCGGCGTCGTGGATGTAGAGTTAGATTTAATATGTCGAATTTCAGTATAGCGATGCGTCTAATTAGATGCGTTCGCAATTAAATGTATTCTTAATACACGAAATTTCCTTTTAAAATTTACCCTGAAAATCATATTGAAATCATGAGACAATATAGTATTTCGGCAAATTTTACTGTGCACTACAATATTTGTTGTAGTATATGTTAAAAAAAATCAATAACACTACAATATTTGTTGTAGTATGTATTAAAAAAAATAGTGAAAAACACACATAAAATTCGTCGAAATATTATACACGGAGAGAATTTTATTTTAAAATTTACCCTGAAAATCATGTTACTCATCGGACAATATAGTATTTCGACGAATTTTATGTGATTTTCATTATTTTTTAAAATATATATTATAATAAATTTATTGTAGTGTACAGTAAAATTTATTGTAGTGCACAATAAAATTTGCCGAAATACTATATTGTCCTACAATTAACATGAATTTTAGGGTAAATTTTAAAATAAAATTCTCTCCGTGTACGCGTACGTTAATATCTACTAATACAAGCGCGCAGCTTCGGCTTTTCGGCGATTCGATTTTACGCGTTGCGCGTATCGCAAAACGCTCTCTCGATCGAGATCTATCGGCTCTGTCGAGCATATATTTTCGTATCGTAGATGCAAGTTCACCCACGACTTCAGTACACGTATTCGTTCGATTTTGCCACAATATAGTCGAGACCCGTTCTAAAACGCAATATATATGTATATTAGAATTATGATTAGCATTACGCGCTAGTTGACCGCGCGATTTTTGGATTCTTCCCTCTCCGTCCGAGATATGCTCATTGCGCTCTTCAGAGACATCGCGAATGGATTGTTCATCTTTTCATCCGCCCGGATTATGATAAACCACGCGTCGCCGTATACGTCGGGAGTGCCGTGTAAAATAATCGCGCGGTCGAAGTTAATCGCGTTTTCGCGAGTGAGTGTTGTGTGCAACGAAAGAACCTGAGAGCAGAACGATATACCAAGCTGGACAACAGGATTTTTGTACCTTGCAGCCCTGGAGCAATGATCGCGGAGCAACCATAAGGTAATTCAACATTATTTATGACTTGCGAATTGAAGTAATAATTTAACATTATTTATTAAATTAAATGTCTATTCCTTTTTAATCGAATTTCTTAGTCAAACAATACGAATATTAACAATCGGAGAGATGGTTATTTATTTGTGAAAATATATATATTTTTTGATATAAGAATATACGTACCATAAAATAAAGAAAAATAGAGGAACAGATTTCTCTTTTTGAAAATTATTTTTAATTATATTAATAAATATATATTCGTGCAAAAACAATCGCAGCATTCGAAGAGATAATTCAATATCTGATCATTATTCGTGACTCGCGGAATCAATTGTTCATTCTTTTTCGAGCGAATTGTTCTAGTTATTTTTCATTATTATTCATTGATCTACGATTCGAAATTCATTCTATTAAATTAATGTGATAATTGAGAAGAGAAATAAAAAAAATTAGCAACACGTTCACAATGGATTTAATAGAAAATAGAACAACATAAAAGGCACGTGGATTACAATAAAACTCACGCAATATTGGTTCTTTTCATTTTATTGTACCAAAAAATTGCATCTTGTTCAATCATCGTTAATTCAATATAATATATATATATATATATATATATTTATATTTATATTTGTTATATCTTATTTATAATAAATATTTGTAATAGCGTAATGTTCATTGTTTGTCATTGTTTTATTGTGTTCATGAACCATGAAAACGTGGATTCAGCAAGTTCGTAATCATCGTCATCACGTGCTAACTAGAAAGACGTTCTGTGTGATTGGTCAGATTCGGGAAATCTGTCTGGTAAAAGACACGCCAGATCGTCGAATTATTTCTGTCTCATATGCGTTTTCTCTCCTCTCTTTTTCCTCCTTATTCTTTCTTTCAGAAAGGCCGGATTATTAGAGATTAATTCTTTTCTCTCGGCATACTTGTCGTTGATATAGCTTTTTTTTTCTTCCTTTTGTTAACAGTACCAGCATCTTACATAGACGATTCATACATTGAAACAATAGGTACCTAAGGAAACTTTACATCTAGCTGTAGTGAGGCGCCCGTTCTCTTAAATTCGTCCTCTAGAATTATTTTTCTGAATCCGCATAAGCGCGTAAGTCCGCAAAATGTATCACTCTTCTTATTCTTCAGTAAAATTGGACCTATGCCACTTGGTATTGTTATAATGATATAACAGAAAGAACGCGAATTCTTCATTTATATTACTCATCATCAAGACTTTACTTCCAAAAATTATAACTTTTCTCAATTTGCCGTTGATTAAGAGACATTACATATTGAGAGTACTAAAAGTAAAATTAATTTTTTTAAATATCTCTCTTAATCTCGTGTCATATTGTCGGATCATATTTGAAATATTTTACTTTATACGTAATTAATCTGTTTTGTATATTCTAAATTTTAATGAAGAAATGCATTATGCATTTCCGTTTGAATTATTCCAACTCGTTACAAATGCAAATAATTCTCATTTCACAAAGCTTTTGCGATAATAACGGTGCGAGACGACTAAATACTGCGGAATTAAATATGCCCCCAGTCAAAAATGGTTTTTATTATTGTACATTACTTTTACGATACGTTAACATTTTAGAAATCCCGCACGCGATTTATCATTTTATTTTGTCGTTGACCAATTCAAGAACAACGGGTCCTCCTCCACGAGCCGAAGCAGCGCAGCTAATTACCATATACCGTAAGAAAATATATGTACCTCTACAGACACCAATAATTCGATCTTCACGATTGTACATGGAACATAGAAACGGTTCCCGAACAAATCCTCCGAACGAGTGTTCCGAACATTTTATTTTTATCGTCATCATTATCATCATCACTACGTTAGTTTATAAAGCTTTACTTTGCCTTTTTGTTAATTAACGAATATCTCGTCGATTCCCCGATTAAACCCTGCAGTACAGCAGTCTTTGTGCCAATTTTTTTCTCGAGAGCTTTTTGTTAGCTAATAAACTCGAACACATCACGAGGTGCCATTTGCTCTTTTTTTTTCTTTTTTCTCGTTTTTACTTTTCTCAATATATTGTTCGGCAAAAATTTCCTTTAGCAGCTCTCCGGTCACGCTCTTCACGATAATCTCGTCGTCAATAAGTATGGCAGTGACTAGGAACCACTGGGAGAAAAAAACGCAACGTTACTGCAGAGTTAATGACGATCGTCGTCCACGAGAGAGAGAGTGTTTAGTTACAACTCCTTAGCATTTTATACGTCGCTACAAACATGTGTTACGTTTGAAAAGGGTCTACCAGCGATATCGAAATCTATTATCGAAAGAATCCGTCTCACTGCGTAAAAGCGGTCGATCGAAGGATCGTCGAGCGTCTCTCGCCCGGGTCCCCTTTGATCTTCTAATTTCTTCGCGGCACGCACCAAACGACGTTTTGTGTCTGATTGCATGATAATTCGCGATTGTCATTTCGGGCTCTTTCGAATTGCGCCACTTTGCAAGCGATACTCGTGCGATATTCACGATAAAAAAACGTCCCGGTCCGAATGTATACGTAAATGGAAACGCTTTTAATGAATTTTAATTTCCCTTTCTAGCGATATAAATAAATCAATTTCGTTTTCGAGTTAAATTGTTTACCAATCGTTTTAATTAGTCACTCAATCGTCGAGTTAATCGTTTTCCACAGTTTTCCCTCACATCGCGTGTAATGTACTTTCTGCGGAAACATCGCGTTATCTTTTTTCCAATTTTTATTCGAACAATTACGAAAACACGTGCGTGGACATCGTGATGCGAGCCGCCAAGAAAGCGTCCGTTCCTTCAAAACATCGTGCCTCCCCCTTCGTCTCTCTCAGCCTCTCTCTATCGCCGTAATATCGAAATGTTAAATCCTTATCATTTCCAGTTGCACATAAGCGAGCGCAAAACTTTTCGTTCGAGAGAACACGTTCCTCCTCTCGCGTCACAAATTGCACTTTAATTAACATCATTTAATTTCGTGTTTTTTGTTTTCTCGCGCTTACAATTTCGCTTCCCCGCGGCGACGGAGCAATTCTCACTTGGCGTGAGTACGCAAAACTCATCGGGTATTATTATTATTATTATTATTTGTTGTTTCAGACGCGAAAATAGAAAATGGCCTCGCTTATCTACGGTGGAAACGGTTTTAGGAGGTACGTTTTCTCGCACAATCGATGAGTAAGTGTAAAGCGGTAATAATAACACACGCGAAAGTCTGTCCATTGCGCCGCGAACGCCGATATTGCCCAAAGCAAGAGTAACAAAATACGAGCGCGCGCGAATTTATTAGCTTCTTTAATAACGTCAATCGCATTCCCCCGGTTGCTCTCTGCAGCGGACTGACAACGGTTGGAGCGTCTATGTCCAAATCACCGGATCGGTATAAATATATCAGTGCAATCGCATGTTTTATTTTGCGCGTTCGCCGCGCGCTGCTCGATTACCACCCGACTCCCGTGCAGACAATGTCGGCGTTCACCGTCTATAATTTTTGCAAATATTCACACTGGCTAGGTGTTCACTTCTTATCGCTGGATCTAATAGTTGGGAGATGATTAAGAGGGTGGGCCTGTCGTCTGATTTTCTGGGCTGGATGGATAAGGTAGCGGAAAACAGGTGGGAGGGGGAGGAGGGGGGAATCGCTGTCGCGCGATAGAGCGTGTGATTGAAATGAATTTGCCAAACTATGTAGGTATATAATCGAAATTGCGTATTCCGCAAGCGCAACTGCATCGTCGTTGTCGGGCGACTAGTTTCCCTATATCGTTACGGATCGGGACCGATATAACGATTGTGTGTGTGTATATGTGTGTATATGGTGTATCTGTGTACCCTCCTTATTACAACTTTGTAGTCAACCATTATTGCAAACGCCTCTGACGCCCGTGCCGTCGCCGCGGCACGCTCGCTAACGTCTCGATGATATATATAATTATACGAACCAGTAGCAAAAATATTGCTGTCTTTCTGTCCTGATTAAAATATCCGAAGGTAGAGAGTATATACGTTTCCCTCTCGGATTATCTAATTCAGCGTTTACCTCCGCGAGGAAAGAAAGAAAGAAAGAAACGAGATGTCAAATCAGGATACGTGCTCCGCCGGCGGAACCTGCAGGAATAGCAGCCGTTCATTATCTTCTTCATTCACGTCACGCGCTGGAAATCCGGAACGAGTGCCCGCTATTTAAGCGCGTTTAAACAACCTCTTTGATAACGACCGCTCTATACCGACTTCTATAGTCTCCCTATTTTCGACGTACGTTACGCTGCACGACAAGGAATTAAGTTCCGCGAACAATGAAAGTCTCAGTTATATTTTTTGGCTCCGACTCCCGAGAGCGTCTGCTTTTCCTCCCTTTTCTTTATTTCCCTTTTGTATAACGTTGAAGTTGCAACTCCGAGTTATGATTCTCGCAAAAAGTCGTAGATCGTGCACGCCGTGGCGCGAAATTAATAGAACGCTTCGCTTATAGAACGCGTTTCGCACTCTGTGTTTCTGCGTGGGTGGATGTGTAGTTTTATTTATATATATATATCGTTTGAACACAAAACTGAATCGGGCAAAAAACGAATCCCTCACCCCTTCGATCACATCATGTGTCGTTGACATAATGGTTTTTGACAAACACACGTGGCATCGCCCGTCGCCCGCCAGTTACTCTCTCTTTCTCCCTCGATATATAATCGGAATTGTCATCGGTAAATATATACTTACATTCTTTCTCGCGAATAAGATTTACGGGTGGGACATTAAGAAACACAGAAATATGCCAGGAAGAACCAATCGATCACAATAATCGCAGTTTCAAATTCTCTCGTTTCAATATTTCTCTTAGGACTCTTATAATTTATTATCACTTATATGTAAATCATGTAGTTCTCGTGTTATACGTAACGACTCCTTTGCATGTACAAATGATTCCTTTAAATGTACAATTACTTCGGAAAACATTCGACGTATTTCGTACGGAATTAAAAGAACGACAATAAGCAATGCATCTTACACGCGGAGACTCTAATCGTTCTGTGTGTGTGTGTGTGTGTGTGTGTGTGTGTGTGTTGTGTGTGAGGCAGATTGTACGCGATTACAAAAATAATTGATTATCCATTATTTATGATCACAGAGGGGGAAAATAAAATGGCGATGAAATCCGACATAGGATAAAGAACATGCAGCTATCGCTATATTATATCATTGCAATACATGTACAAAAATATGCCTTTTAGACGTTATTCAATGTTACAAAAAGGTTTTGAACACAATAGAGGCAATGGATCTTCGCATTGTAAAACGAAATATTAATTACAATTAATCTAAGCGTTAACCCGATAATAATTCAATATCAATTTACGCATGTCGCGGAAAATTTTCGACGTCTTCGTTATAATGAGCACGACTGAAAAAAAAAACGATCCCAATAGCCGAAACGGAGACGCGTTAAGTTCATCAGTTGACAGGAGGAACAAACAACACTTGCAAAAAAAATATATAAAAAATGATTATTAAAATTATTCTTTTTTCGCTTAAACAACTCGTTAGTAAAACCATATACATAATAAAGCTAATATAAAGTTATATGCGAATATGATCGATAATATATATATGTATATATATATATTTATTTATTTATGCGTATAACTAGTCAATAATTCTATATGTTACATATATAATTAGCAACGATGTGAGATCTGAGAGCACGACTTCAAACTCAATCGACACGGTTCCACTGGAAACGTACATTCTATGTATGATGATGATGATATATATATATATATATTTTTTTTTTGGTTCTGAATGAATGAAATCTAAAAAGTACAGTGCCGACGAGACATTAGACGCGTTAAAGCTACGGTACTGTGCTAACTTACAGAAATAAAAGTAGAAAAGGCGCGCGCGTTCCCGCGAGAGAGACACAGTGCGAATTAAAGGGGTAGCGGATAATTTTTTTCCTTTTCTCTTTCTATATAAGTACGGCTGAGAGATAATTCTAAGTATTCATGCTGAATAAACTGTACATTTCTCTTGATGCACATCCAAGTGATGACGCATATATCGTACTTTGTTGATTGCACACCGAGTCTCGAAAAGCACTGAAATATTGTAACAATAACGAAGCCAGTGGGACGAATGTATCATATATATTATGAAAAAATGTAACGAAGAGCAACTGACGAATTTTTTTTGAGTCGCTTTACATAATTGCACGAACCAAGAAAGAAGAAAAGCATTAAAAAAAAAAAACAGAAAAAACGACATTGCTTCTGACAAGTTGTACGAAAACCGTACCTGATTTCACTTAAGTCTTAATAGCGACTTCTCGGAACGGTAAATACATTGCAGTACACGTCGCCAACGGAATGGATTCGCTGGGAAACAGGCCGTGTCCACGAAAGTCCGTCTTAAATAATAACGTAATAAACGTAAAAGCGCGAATATCCCTGCGTATAAATTACATATCGTTTTCTCGTTGCATAAAACTTAGCGTTCTTTAAAAAAGAAGAGAAAAAAGTGAGCGTAATGTGTTGCGTAATACATTAAAAACCTGGATAAGCTTTATCGGCGGACGAAATAAAAGTTGCGACCGCGAGAGCGTGGGCAACGAATTTGTATTAAGTGTGTACAGATATAGCGGCGTAAAAATAAAAAAAATCGTGACTTTTGTTTTGCTATATGTATATACATTCTGAATTTGATTACTGTAGCTGCTGCGTTGTTTTTTTTTACGACCGACGCGCCCAAGCAGGTCAAGCAACGCAGTTTTGGCGACGGTTTACGATATCGTGTTTATATGAATTAGGTAAAGCGTTGTGTCTGTTCAAAATTTCAAATATAGACATATCGATTTGATCGGTGAAATGTTTTCTTTTTCACATCTTTTCTTACATCCTGTCTTTTCCGCTGACGATTTTACACATTTTTCAATCATCACCGAGGAATTACTGAAGCTTCGTTTAATCGACGTTTTATCTCCTAGTCTCTAAAAAAAAACACATTCGGTATTAATTTTGCAATGCTTCAAAGCACAAGTAATTTCGAAGAGATCCGTTAACGCTAAAAATGCTCGTCGTATTCACTCATATGTTCCAATGAAATTTCTTTACGGGAGACCCATATAATAAGGCACGCTTTTCTGCCTGAGAAGGCACTGAAATATAATGTTTATACTTACGTACATGCTATAAATCGCATTGCATACATGTAAATCATGCAAAGGAGGGAGATCAATTTGAAACGAGATACTATTGATCGAAGATTATTGTGCACCAAGGTTTGTACAATTTTATATTTTATAAACTTACAGTTTTTTTCCTACACTTTGCCAAACAATTCTTTTTACTCTACTTGGTTCTTTGTTGTTTTTCGTTTTTGAAAATTTAAATACGCTGATATATCGTCAATCATAAAAATAAATTCTAGTCCTTTCCTCGCGCTTTCTTACTCTGAATGTATTCGAATTCACGTCTCTTGCTTTATACTTCGGGCGATGATACAACCATAGTTTTTGTTTCTCAAACGGAAATTCCCTGAGTCCTTTGATTTCATTTTCTTTAGCTCTAACATTCGAAATAAACTTAAGAAAACTGCATTAGCGGATGGAAGTAATGATTAATTAAGTAGGTCGAGGGGGGGGGGAGTAGTTGTTCGTTCTTTTTCGTTTCCTTAAACGCAAGGATATTTCCAGTTTCCACTCTTTCTCGGAAAAGCAAAGCATCTCTCCAAACAATGTAACAAACCAATTCAATTTAATATATACGTCCTCCTCTTAATAACAATAATCTATATAATGAAATCTATAATGAGTCGAATAATAACAATGAGATTAAAATAGTACAAATTGACTTAAAATTTTCCGCGAGCGAGTGTTAAATCGCGTAACCGATCCGTACCCACCGGGGACATCAACTAAATCTACATTCACTTCCGAAGGATGGACACACGGCCGATGACAGTCCTGTGGCTTCGTTCGCTTGCGCCTCTTCCGCGTTTCGCCCGCCCGATGCGCACAGCTCGTGGCGGGACGCCGAGGACGCTGCTTGAAACGTATTCGGAGTCGTCTCGTTTGCACTCATTCTCCCGGGATGGTTCCGCAATCGCGCAGTCTTGGCTAGCGGCTGCGTCGTCCCGGCGTCGTTCGCGTGCGGCCGTTTGCGTGGCAGGTTCGATCTTTTCCCCGCCGCTGCCGCTGCCGATGACGACGACGACGACATGGCGATCGGTCGCTGATGCGCAGCCCTACGAGGGGGAGGGAGGGGAAACGTTTTGGGAATGGTGATGGCAGGAAAAAGGAAGACGGTGCTAGTACCCATACTCCATCACACATTTTTGCGTGTCTCACTGTTGCTTAAAAAAAGCTTAAAAAAAAAAAAAAAAGAAACCTGAAACTGACGCGCGTGACACGCGCACCGGTTTTTATGATCGATCGACGAGCGAGGAAAAGAAAGAAAAAAAAGATTGCGAAGGCAAACGTATACGCTCGTCTCTGCTTTTCTCCCTCTAACTGGGCGATATTTATAGCGTTTACTTTTTCGCAAATTTCAAAGAATGAGAAGAATGAGTAACGATTGATTGCGATTTTTTGTCGAATGTAAAAATAATTTTCTCTAAATAGATGCTAACACAGTCTAAGGTAGCAGCAAAGAAGTCGTTAGTGGAGGCGGATGCGTGTGCGCTGTACTGTGTGCCAGATTGATCGATTCGTTCGTCGTTAAAATTTCGTGTCGCCGCGCATCCCTCTCCGTGCTGCTCTTCGATCTTTCGATCACGTGTTTTCGGAATATCACAACGACGAACGCGCCCGCGGGCGCTCGGAAGAAAGAACGAACAAGGGCGAGAGAATCTCAAAAGAAAAAGAAAAAAAAACCGAGGAAAACGTGAACCGGGCGAATATGTCAGAGCTGGTACAGCTCTTAAACCGTTACATTACGCACGATACGTTACTGCTACGCTGTTCATAGAGAAACGCATCGTTAGGTACACACGCAGCAGAAGCTTCGATACCCGATCGATAACCGGCATTACACCGGAGGATATAATTTCGAAAAAATCGATACTGCGAATCCAACAAACCGTAAACACCAACGATGGTCCTCTCTCTCTTCGATTCTCCTTGTCTCAAATATATACCTCTCCTCTTTCTCTTGTTCGCACTCGGAAAGTGAGTAAGAGCATTCGACTGTCGGAACATTTTTACAAGACACCGCGAGTTTCATGCGTGCGAAACGCCTCGTTTGACGAGCACGTCATAATCATGTCAATACGTCGTGATCGTGACAATTGAATCGCAGCGAATAATTAACGAAGTAATTTCAAGCCAAGAGCTTGGACACGATCGCTGTAAGAGACATCGCTGCCGTGAATAGAAAACGCCCCCTCGGGAAACGCGCTCGGGGGTGAGAAGAGCGCGGATTCTCCGCTTTTTTTTTTTTTACCTCGTTCGTCTCCGTCACTTTCGCTCTCGTCGGTGCCGGAGGATGGTCGAGCCACCAACTCCTCCATCCCCTCCCCTCACGGTGTATGTGTTTATACACGGAGCGACGGGCGACGAGAGCGGCGACGAGAGAAGGGTGAAGGGGGTGAAAACCTCGTCGCCGTTACCAGAAGAGTGAGACTCGGGAGTCTCGGGTGTAAGCATCTATTTGGTAGTAAGGACGAGCGATCGGGGAGGGGGGGATCTTACAGGGAATCGAGATGATTAAGGATATGGGTACGCGCGGATGGTAATATATTTGGTTACAACTCCATGTCCTGCGCCTCGTCCTCGCTGAAGTCGCTCATCGACGACTCGCTGTCGGACGACATCCCGTTGCCGGTGCCACCGTTCTCCTGGTCCCTCAGCGCCTCCTCCGTCGCGTACTTCCTGACGTAATCTGCCGAGAAAGAAGCCAGAAACGGGAAATTGCATTGCGAGCCGTATAACGAACGTTCCGAGCGCGCGCACACGCGCGGAACGGGGGTAGTAGTACACTGTTAATCTATAGTGTCAAACTGAACCTTATTTAAGTCGCCACTGCTCCTACTTAATAAATAGTTCTTTTTCACTAAAACAATGTGGAGTTAATTAATTTAAAACAGTTCAAATTTAACCCAAATTGGGTTAAATTCTATTGTTTTATTTAAAAGTAACTATATTGTTTTAGTTAAAAATAACTATTTATTAAGTAGGAGCAGTGGCAACTTAAATAAGGTTCAATTTGACACAATAGATTTCAACAGTGTATAGTGTCAAACTAAATCTTATTTAAGTCGCCACTGCTCCTACTTAATAAATAATCCTTTTTTTTACTAAAACAATGGAGTTAATTAATTTAAAACAGATTTAGGTAACCCAAATTTGGGTTAAATTCCATTGTTTTAGTAAAAAAGAACTATTTAATTATATAGTTCTTTTTTACTAAAACAATGGAGTTAAATAATTTAAAACAGTTCAAATTTAACCCAAATTTGGTTAAATTCTATTGTTTTATTTAAAAGTAACTATTTATTAAGTAGGAGCAGTGGCGACTTAAATAAGATTCAGTTTGACATTATAGATTTAACAGTGTACGATAAAATTAACCAATAAAATAAAATCTAACAAAAGAGCAAAAGTGTAAAATAAAAAAGAAAATACTAATCATTCAAGTAAAATATCGTAATAATAATTATTACACACATTGTTAAATAATCTAACATTTTAAAGATCTACTTCTCCTTATAGATTATTCGTATATGTATATAATTCAGTAGCTATTTTTTTAATGTTACAGGAGAATTAAGGGCTAGAGAGTGAAGGTAAACTTGCGTATATATAAACGGATAATCGATTATATATAAGAAATCTTCGTCCTACTTTATTATAAAGAAATAATAAACAAGATATAAGAGCAAAAAAAAACATTGTATGTCCGTAAGATTTCTCACAAAATTTTACTTCTTTAAAACTTAGCTCTGGAACAAATCAGTATGGTTTTATTTAATTTTGCGTTAAATACACACGCACACGCGTACGCGCACGCGCCCACGCACACGCATACGCACACACATATATATATGTAATACATATTATAAATACACGATTTCATGTTTTCACGATGAAAATAAAAGATTATTACCCCTATTAAGCTGGACCCCCCACCTT